TAATTAAGAATAGATAACTGGCAGATATAAATAGTGAAATAGTGATAGGAACTAGTGAAGTAGTAGAATAGAATAGTAATGAAATAGGCCTAAATAGTAATATATAATAGTAAGTAATAAATAAATAGTAATAATAATAATAGTAAGTAATAAATAATAATAGTTAATGGTATCAGGGTATGTGGAGCTCATTATGGGATGTATGTATAGCTGATCGACCTGGTGCTGATGATGCTGATGGTCAGAATAATTAGTATTAATTATTGTAATTAGTAATTTGTAGATAATAATAGTGGCTAGTAAATAGTAAGTAGTAATTTTTAAATAGTAATAGTAACTAATAATAGTAAGTAATAAATAATAATAGTTAAATGTTATAGGGTAGCTCAGTATTGGCAGCTCAACTTATACGCCGCCGTCACACCGGATCGGCGAGCCATTCCGCGACGTACGGCGACCAGAAAATGTACAAGTTGGCGCGGCAAACGCAAACAAAGCGCGAGAAAAAGTCCCGACAAAAATACAAACTTGAAAGAAAAACCAGCGCTCGTTTACGGCGACCCTGTGCGCCATACCACGTTCTCACGCGCGCCCGAGCAAGTGCAGACTTTCCGCGCTATGGCTTTCTATGAAGATCTACTGGGCTTGGCAAGCGGCGATCACCGGCGTTCCCGCGGCGGGCTCTCACCAGCACTCATGGGTTCTAACCACGCTCTTCTCACTGATCGCGAGCGCACGGCGACCATCACGGCGTTCTACCACGTTCTCACGGCGAGCTATATAAGAGTCTTAGATTTCTGGAAATTGTAACTGTATAGTTGTGGCGTTGCTGAGTAGAAAAAACCACGAATTGCTGAAGAACAACAGCCAGAGGCCGAGGCCGTGGTCGGGCGCGAGAAAAAAAACCAGATGCGCATGAAAAGATGCGGCCAGAATCGCATGAGACAGATCCATGAGATTCGCCGTTGAAATTGTTAGCCATTCGGGGGCAGCGTCTTTGCACGGCTGTACTGCGCGTGTACTACGTTTTTGGAAGTGTTACGACCGCTGTCTCACGACTTCGTGACAGCCGCGACGCGTTCTCCTACGCGACGTTCGCAGGTCAGATCGCGGCCGAACCGTTGGCGATTTGTTTTGACATGCGCAAAAAGAAACGGGTTTCTGTGACGTCGCGGATCATTGGCGACCAATGGCGACAACACGTCAGCGATGTCCTGGCGTTTCCACCCAACGCTTATACCACCGCTTATGGTGACGCTGGCCAGCGCTCTGGGCCCATTTTCGTCGCCGTAGCAGGCGCAGTAAGGACGCCACCACGGTGTGACAGGGTATTATGGATCCATATGTTAAGCGATCGACCTGGTTGCTGATGATGCTGATGGTCAGAATAATTAGTGAAAGTAAACTTTTGGTTTTGCTCAGGCAACTGCGCTGACCTGCGACTAGTGAAGAGCTATATAGAGCTGGGATTGCCTGGAGCGAACATAGAGTTCTTGATGTCAGAGAGAAATCAGGTGAGCTGTAGTGTAGTTACTCTGTGCTCCCACATGGGCCAACTATCCCTCTCCAACACTCTCCCTCCCACACACGTCAATCACTCACTGTCCAACATACTGCCTATAATACCTACCTCTCTCCCCCATGCACTTGCTCCCCCCTCCTCCCCCCTTCCCTTCACTAACACAGTTCCCAGAATCTCCCTTTTGTAATTTATCAACTATCTGTTTGCTAGCTATTCGAGTATTATTCACACGCATGTCTCTGTCATCACAACAGAGAGAGACAGGCAGGCCGACAGACTGGCAGACAAACAGATGGGCAGGCAAGTGGGCAAACGGGCGATGGTGACACCCAAGACGTTGTTGCACATGTACAACCACACTCTCTCACTCTCACTCACACACTTACACTCTCACTTGTTATCACTCACTCACTCTCAGTCACTTTCACTCACACTCACTCACTCTCACACGCTCACTCGCACTCACTCACACTCTCACTCGCACTATCTCACACGCTCACATACACTCTCACTCACTTGCTTTCAGGCATGTGGTTCATGCAGAAGTGGAAAAAGTCGGGCTCCCTGCTGCAGCTGGCGATGAAGGATGCGAATGACCTTCGCGAGACCTTCCTATACCAGCTGAGTCGCAAGCGAGGTCAGTGATCTACCCGTCATAATGATCACCCTAGCACTAATAAGTAATAATTGTAATGATCACCCTAACACCGAGGTTCGAGAAAACGATTTATCAAGAATAGCAAAGCGATTATAATAATTTGTTATAGTAATTATGATATTATATAAAATTTATTTTGATAATTATTTTAGGTCTGAGCAGCTTCAGGCACGTGCTGCTGGTTGCGTCGGCGCAGGACCGCTATGTTCCGTTTCACTCGGCCCGCATCGAGCTCTGTAAGGCTGCAGTGAAGGACTCGTCCATGCAGGGTGAGCTAGCAACAGCGGCTGATACGAAACTGCATGCGTGCGTGCACGGTTACTGGCGATGCCATTTGCATGGCTTGAACTCTAGATCTCATCCTTGGTTGCGTAGTCTTGTATTTGTTATTCCTCTTTTACACATCTGGTGATGCCATTTGCATGCCTTGAACTCTAGATCTCGTCATTGGTTGCGTGGTCTTGTATTTGTTATTCCGCTTTGACACACCTATACTAGTGCCTCTTCCAGCTAACCCCAGTACCTAGTCTGTGAGATTTTCCATATATAAAATATCGATTTTGAGAGCATTTAATCGTCGTTGTTGTTGTTGCTGACGTTGTCATCGCCGTCATCTTTCTCATTGTTGTTGTTGCTATCGGTTTTGTTGGCGGTCTTAACCTTGAAGATACGCTAACCTTGAGTATTGAACTGTTTGACCTTGACCTCTGACCTTGTGCTCGGCCCCCCGCAGGCTGCGTGCACCGCTGAACTGTTTGACCTTGACCTCTGACCTTGTGCTCGGCAGGCTGCGCGTACCGGGAGATGGTGAACAACCTGCTGCGGCCGGTGATGGACGACGCGGGCGGCGTGGCACTGCTGCGATACGACGTGCACCACGCGCTGCCCAACACAGCGAACAGCCTCATCGGTCGAGCCGCCCACATCGCCGTCCTCGACTCGGAGATCTTCATCGAGAAGCTGCTGCTTGTCAGCGCGCTCAAGTACTTCAAGTGATGGAGGGAGGATGCGCGGGTTGTGCGTCGGTGATGAGGGAATCGTTCGGAGACTAACCAGAGAGTCTTGCTTGTTGGTCAGCGCGCTCAAGTACTTCAAGTGATGGAGGGAGGACGCATGGGTAATGATGGACCAGTCAGGGGACTCTAACCAGAGAGTCTTGCTTGCTGGCCAGTGTGGTCAAGTACTTTAAGTGATGATGGGGAGGAAGTGTGGATTGTGTTGGTGATGAGGGACTGGTCAGGGGACTAACCCTGTAGTCTTGCTTGCTCAGTGTTTCTTGTTATCATGAGAGTTCAGGAAATGCTGAGCAAAATGGTCCAGGGACCGGTCAAGAAAACCAGGGGCCGGTATTTGAAGTGCGGTTTGTGTGAGCGACTGCGGGTCAGTGTGATGGAGGGACTGATCAGAACCTATTCAGCGGTCGGTACTACAAACCAGTGACTGCTAGTTGGCGGCCGAGGATACTTGTGTTCGAGACTGTGGGACAGTATGTTTGGCTGGTGGTGAAACAGTGGAAATCGGGGACCGGAGGTCAAACAGTGGAAATCAGCAACTGGTGGTCAAACATTGGATATCAGGGACCGGTGGTCAGCAGGATCTGACGCATTCAAGGACTGTCTCATAGCTTAGGGAATTATACCATAGACTTGTGGACAGTGTCATCGGGCAAGTAATGGATTGTGGTTACTAGTATCTGAAAACTGCTGATGGTTCAGTAAGAGAAGATATAGTAGGGTATATATAATTTTATTGGTAAAGTCACCTAACATATAGATAAGGACTATTGGTGGACTCTGTGTGAGTGTACACAGGTCTGTTTCTGACTGCCGTGTCACCAATCGAGTAGAAATAGGCGCAAGTGATATGTGCTGCCATCTTGTGATCCAAGTGGCTAACGTCTGCGACTCCCCACCCCCCAACTGTGAAAACCCGAAGTTTCTGATTTTATGCCGTTAAATTGCCATTGTCTATTTCAGTGAAATGCAATAATGAATCGTTTCTAGCTATAAATAGTTGTGATAGTCTAAATTAAAAAGACTGCTGCTAAGCTGTTCAACACTAGCCCCGAATCTGTCCCCCCAAACACATGCGTTTATCGCACTCATTCGAGGAATATGTGAGTGAGAATAACATGGTGGTTTTAATCGGAGTAATTTTTGTACTGTACATAGATGCTGTTGAAAATGTATAACAAAAACGGATTAACACGACGATTGTTGTTTGCGTTTTGCTATTTTTTATTTGGTCATGTTCTTACTTCGTCACTCACCGTGTCATGCATAACACACACTGTTATAGTCCCTCCCTGCCCATTGTGTTCTGTCATCCCTTCTTCCATCTGTCATGCGTCGCTAACTGTCATTGCTTCTTCTGCCCATCGCAAGCTGTCACCGTTTTTTCCATCCATCGTTCGGTCGCAAGCTAATACTGTTTTTTTCCATCCATCACTCCATCCGTCACAAGCTAATACTGTTTTTTTTCATCCATTTTTCTCTCCATCGCAAGCTAACTGTTTTTTTCCATCCAGGGTTCTGCCCACGGTGGGTGGGTGTGCCCAGCACTCGCGGTTGCCGCCCGGCACTAATTTTTGATATAAAAAAAAGAAGAAAAAAAAGTCTGATATATGGGCTTTTTATTGCTCAGAATGCAGGAAATTGAGTTTCAGACTCCAAAATTAAAAACTTTCCGGTGGGGCATGCCCCGGACCCCCCTAGATTGGCTTCTCGCCTACGGCGCTTGCATCTTCCGACTTTGTCGCAACTGGATGCGCCCGGCACTAAAAAATCCTGGGCAGAACCCTGCCATCCATCGCTCCATCCGTCGCAAGCTATCACTGTTTTTTCCATCCATCGCTCCGTGCGTCGTGATCGCACTGCGCGTCACACAGCCTCCGCCACGCCTGCGCGATGAGCAGCGACGGTACGAGAAGCCAGACGGCGTTGATCGCGACGAGGTACGTCCAGAAGTAGACCGACTCGCGTCCTCCTGCGTGCGCGTGTGGCCAGCCGTCGAACGCCTCCGTCGCGAAGTAGAGCACCGTCCCGTACAGCTGCCACGCGGAGACGAGCAGCTGCAGCGCGTGTCGCTCGCGGCCGCGTCGCGCGTGCGCCACCGCCACCCACACGCACGCCGGTCCCTCGATGAACGCTGTCAGCGACTCCATCGTGACGGTGAACGTGTCCGCGCTGAAACGGACATCGGATGAAAGTGGGACGAGAATGGGAGGGTGGGTGAGAGCAGGGAGGGGGAGGTGGGGAGATGTGGGTGGGAGCGGGGGAGGGGGAGGTGGGGAGAGTGGGTGAGAGCAAAGGGAGGTGGAGGTGGGGGAGGCAGATGAGCATGGAGAGTGGATGAGATCGGAGGAGGGGGGCTGGGGAGTGCCGATGTATGTGGGAAGCGCATGAAGAGTGAGTGAGAGCAGGGCAGGGGGAGGTGGGGAGAGCCGATGAGAGCACGAAGAGGAGGAGAATGGAGAGGGAGGAAGTCGATGATCATGAGAGCAGGGAGATGGGAGGGGAGGAGGTTTTCACCGCTAATTCAGAATTTATCAATTGATGGCTCATCTTGCAATGCCTAAAAAAATTCTTAGATTTTATAGATAGCGCAGAATATGTATTCTATATACTCTTCAGAGGCAGAAACTCCTAACAGAAGGAAGACAGAAGAAATGCAGAACTTTCATATAATCTTTTGAGCAACTAGTCATCAACCTTAATGATATACTTACATCAGGTATCGACTATCTGCCTTGCCATATTCTTTCCCTGTTAATTATAACACATCAGTAATTAATATGAATCGTCTGCATAAAGTGAAACATTTGTCGATATTACGTAACATATAACATTATCAGGAGTAGATAATAGAAGACTATTCTATTATCTACTCCTGACATTATGTTAATAGATTTTGAGAAAATAGCTTATAAGGGTATCTATGGAACATGTTAGATTATACTACAGTACTTACAGACTTGACTGAGGAAATGATTGTCAGCAATAATAACATTATAAAAGATGGCAAAGTATCCCTCCAGCACAAGGTGTATGCATCCACAGATGACAAACCACGTGATGGCTAGCCTGCATGTCACACTGTGTCTCCCCCTGCTGGCAGCAAAGAATGCCAGGGTGCCTACCAATGCTACTGCACCACCGAATATGGTGAGAATTTCTGGTGCTGTGAGGGTATTTGGAACATAGTTTGGTAGTTTCAGGCTGCGTGGGAAATATGGGTGGTGTAGTTCCTGAGACACCATCTTGAGATCTTGATTGTTAGTAAAGTTTCCCACAGATTACCTGCACAGAATAAACACATGTAATCAAATGCTTGCTCTGATGAATACAGTATTCACGTTAAAATAACGTGATTCGCGTTAATAGCAATATTAGCAGAAAATGTTTGCTATTGATATATTGTAATATATTAAATGTACAGATAAATCAGGCCTTCATCCTGCTGTTGCTAACTGTTCTCCTTGAGTTTAACAAAAAATGCATATTATTTCAAGAAATGACTGAAGTTGGCCTCCAAACTAAACAGGAAGGAGAGTGAAAGGGTATAGAGAGATGGGTGTGGTTCTGACATGGTAGGACTATTTGGATATATATTCTGGGCTTATTTCTAAATTATTATTAACTAATACATAGACATATCGGGCACCCTTCTACCAACTAGTACTCACAGCAACCACAAACTGATTATCAATATTCCTATGTAAACGTGTCACAGAAAACGGTGTGCAATGAATGCTCTTCGTTGTAAATAAATGATATGTACAAAGATCACTAGTGATCACACCACTATGCTCTGCTATACACATCCGCTGCCACCTACCAGGCAAAATAAGATTTAATAGTAACCTACTTCTATCCACAGATGTGGATGACTACAGTATATAATCTATCAGAAAATATGTTCAATATTATTTATATTTCATCCTGTAGTACCGGTACAATAAAGGTAGAGGCAGTCCTGGGAGTAAAGTAACAATATAGTAAGATGGGCGATGATGGAAATAAAGGGAGGATTGGGTGTAGGTGGAAAAGAGGAAGATTACGGTTTTAGAGAATTAAGGTACGTGTTAAGTGGAGGAAGTGGGGAATAGCAGCAGTGGCAGTAAGGGGAGATGTGAAACATGAATAGAGAGAAAGAAAAGGTAATAAAGAAAAAATCGAAGAAGGAGGGTCAAGGTAGGTGGGGAAAGAAAGGACATAGAGAGGAAGAACTATAAGAGGGTAGAGAAAAATTGCAAGGATCAGATCAGACAGTCACTCAGACTGTGGAGAGAGCATGCATGATCGTGAGAGATAATAGTGGATGATCAGGGAGATATGGTAGTGGATGATGACGAAGATGAGAAATGGAAGGGGCAGTAAGGGAAGGTACATAAGGAGGCAGATGAGAGGTGGGGTAGCTGGAGGGATGTCGAATAAGGGCAGAGAAATTGAAGACCGGAAATTGATCCATGAGGAGAGAGATCGGCCAAGGGAAGAATATAAGGTGGCAAATGTAGGTTCATGGATATAAGCGCTGACCACAATTCATTTTCGCAATGTGTGACATGTGCAAATGACAGACAGGTTACCTACTTACCCTTGGGCCCAAATGTATAGGCCTACTAGCGCTCATAGGGTCTATGTCCCCCAGGGTACTGCCGGAACGTACCCTGGTATAACTATTTGATATGGTTAGGGTTAGGGTCAAGATTAGGGTTAGCGTTAGGGTTAGGGAGTAGGCGTAGGCGACTCCTTAGACTAGCTCGTTAGTGGAGTAGGCGAGGAACGGTCCGGCATATAAGATAGTACCAGGGTACGTTCCGGCAGTACCTTGGGGGACATAGACCCTCTCAGCCCTACTACTCACTAGCTTGCATGTATAGGAAAATGGATAATGACTCGAGTGAGTGAGCACTGGGGAGACATAACTCAGACTAAATACCGTAGACATTCACTAATAGTAATAGTGAGTAATACTAATAGTAATAGTAATACGTGTTCTATTCTATTACTTACCGTCTTACGTGAAGTGTCATAGTACACATCATAATATATTATTATTAATAATAATTATTAATATTAATATTGATTATTGTAAATGTAATTAACTAATTATATAATCATAATGCATGATGATGATTAATTGACTAAATATGTTATTGACATTGAATATATGTTGTTGTTGTTGTTATTATATGTTGTTGTTATGATATGTTGACATATCATATGTGTTACGGTCCAAAATTTCATAATAACATCGTGAATACATAAATAACAGTCTGTCCTTATGTTTCAACGATAATGACAAAATTTTACCACGTAGTAAATAATTTCATACGTACCCTATATATTAATTATTATGTTATGTAAAATTGTAATCTGGGCACTTGATATGTTATGTAATGGGCGCTGCCATGTTTTCTACCTACTGACCAATGACTGACTAGCCGCGGATATGGCCACGTGACCATAACAAATCAGCGCCATTTGCCATGTTGCGGAGTTTCGGACAATTTTGTGGTGTGCTGTGTGAGTAAGGTTATGTATCATTGCTTCACATACTTGAACATGTGTCAATTATAGCTCAGTGAAGTTAATCTAATATAATGTGCTCTGCTATACCGAGTCATTGTGGTATTTTATAATCAGAAAATAAGTGGTGGGCACTAGAAACTAAGTTAATTGAAAAAATGATGTTATGAATGAATGCTGTGTGTTGTTGGCATTTTGCCATCTGTGTAGTAATACAACTATGATAACGACAAGCTCTATTTGTGAGTATACGATGTCTTTGTCAATTCAACTCACATAGCCAACAGGATTGTTGTACCGTTATTATCAATATAACAAGATAGAGAAAGTGAAAATAATGACAAATGCAAATATTTTAACACATTTTTTCAACACTCCTCAGTCTCCTTTTTGAAGTTTTTCATTTGTGTATATTTTTTCATAATCACGTGACATATATAGTGTTCAGGGTTGACAGTAAAGCTGAGAGAGAGGGTCTATGTCCCCCGGGGTACTGCCGGAACGTACCCTGGTACTATCTAATATGCCGGACCGTACCTCGCCTACTCCACTACCGAGTCTAGTGAGTAGTGTCGTGAGTCGCCTACGCCTACTCCCTAACCCGAACCCTAACCTTAATCCTAACCCTAACCCTAATCCTAACCCTAACCATATCAAATAATGACCAGGGTACGTTCCGGCAGTACTCTGGGGGACATAGACCCTCTCTCTCAGCTTTACTGTCAACCCTGAACACTATATATGTCACGTGATTATGAAAAAATATACACAAATGAAAAACTTCAAAAATGGCCTATGAGCGACAGTAAATGTTCTTCTTGAGCTAATGCTTGTCGTTGAATAGCCACAAGTTCCCTTCTCGCTTAACACTACGTTGGCGAGAGGTCCTACGCCGTGTAACAGTCGGAGAGCCTGGTCGGTTTAGTCGTTGGGCCGTAACTTCTATCAGAGTTGTTAAACTGTCTTTAAAAATACAAATGATCAATTGCACAGTTATACCATTACTAAACTGCATGCTTATAAGTTATCCTATGGATTATATCAAGAGCTAATAAACACCTAGAGTGTACAACGGAAAAACGGGAAAATAGTGCTATTTCACGGCAATATTATTCTACTTTGCCTGCGAGTCTAGAATAATTTTATGGTATTGCATTAAGCAGAATTCTTTGCTCTCTAAAACAAGACCAACCGCTTGTCAATACGATACTCCTAGGTTGAGATATTGGCTCGTAAACTTCCCCTCCCACAGGCCTCACGGAGCCTCGCAACCACAATATTCACTGTAGTGATGTGCTGACCTAGCATAACAAATTCAATAATGACTTTCAAATTCAAATCAGTGGTGCAGGTGTGGCTATGCGGGTGTCAAGCAGTTAGCTGTTAGGCTGTGATATGCACATCTGTCACAATTTCTTCGATAAGTCGATGTAATTTTGCTCTCAGTTGTGCTGTACATAGATAGATGCAAGCTGGTAACACACCTTTTCACATGTACTCTTATCATAATGTCACATGATTGTTTAAAAGTTATCTTGTTATCAGGAGGCAAATTAAACACAAGTATTTTTTTTGTGTTGTGAATTTTCCTGACAGAACATGTAAAATTGTATTTGGCTGCGTGCCAAAATGCAGTGCGAGCCCCCTAACCGTACCATCTTCTTGCTTCAGATTGGATTTTAGAAGAAGCGCATCTGTGACCGCTTGCATTTGCCCTGCTGGTAATCTGGCCGTGGCATGCGTGCAGCGAACACTGCCTATAACAGAGGGGCACCTAGACTCCCCCACATCGTGTGGTTGCCACGGCAACATTACTCGCCCGATACGGCCATCGACACGTGTCTGCCGCTGCATGCGCCCGTCGCTGGAACGAGCGCTCTCGTCCAGTCACGATGAAGCATTCTCGTCGCCGTGACGACAGCGAGCAGAAGCCATTGTTGTACAGCTCCGGGAGTGCGTCGTCGATATCGTCGGCCGTCGACGCCCCCATGACGAAAAAGTCGACGGCGAAAGACTTTGGGCCGAGTTCATGTCCGAACAGAGCGTGTAAGTTTGTACCCACTGCTTTACCTCCCCGCAGAAGCTATTGCACATAGAATCTATAGAAAGAAAACTAAAAGAGGGAAGCTAGTATGTAGCAAAACAGTCATGAGAGAGAGAGAGAGAGAGAGAGAGAAAGAGAGAGCGAGCGTAGCATTTGTATACATTACAGCACTCTCATTAATCTATTGAGTAATCATGCAGTTAACGACCACCCAGTGCCTAAATGATCCCATAGAGATTTAACCTGGAATTGACTCCTGCATCAGTATGTCAGCATGAATAGCTGAATAGCAGTGCGTTGTTTAAATGCTAAACGGACTTTATTGCACGCTTGGCTGCAATGCAGTTATTTATGGAGGAGTCATTAACAATAGGAATTATCGCTGTATGGTAAGTGTATGGAAGTGTATGTCCTGCAGCAAGTCAGTGATTGAGTAGTGAGCCACCCAACTAGTTCAGAATGAATGATCTTGGAAACTGATATCAGCTTAGGGTCAGGGTCAGGTAGTTGGGTATCGTAGGTTAGTACATACTACATGTATAGTATATATTGCAATCAAGTTACTTGGTCTCTTTTGGTCAGCCATGTGTACCTTATATATAATGTCATTAACCATGTCATTTACCATACGTTTGAATTCAGAGTAATTAGAAATCTTGCACGCTGACGTTAGTGTTCTTAGTTTAACATTTAACCTGTTTGGGGCAGTAGAGTATGTTCAATCCTCTTCAGTCACATGCTGTATTCATTGCGCAATGATTGGTTGGAGTAATTCCTCCCAAAACTTGCTCGATGGCGGCTATCTGACAGATGACTCGAATATCGGATTAGGCTGGTCTCTCTGTTGTAGCAGCAAAATGCCTTGCAAGCCAGACTGCTTCTTTACACGGTGTGATTGTGTAATTACGTCACGTCATTCGTGTCTCGCATGAGATGAGAAATTCATAGGCGGACATTTGTTGTTGGTTTCTGATAGACAGTAACAAAATCGTTAAACTGCTTGATAAAGAAATTTGAAATGTCTTAAAGTGATTACGTCAGCGTAAATAGTAAAAGTAAAAAAGTCATGTCCACTTTTTCACAAAATGTAAGTGATTCTGTTCGCTTTTTATGGTTAAATTGCTGCATTGTACTTCCTATTTTGCTATTCCATGGGATGTGAACAAACACCTGTGACTCGTACATATCCTATCACAAGCATTTAATGTAGTGATCAATATTTCAAATTGCCCAGATTTTTTATATTTTTAACTAGTTGAAAAACAATCTTATCACAGGAAATAATTTGAGGATACATTTGGTTGCCGTTAGTACTTACTTTTAATGTAAACAAAATTGTAACAAAAGTTTTACAAAAATACACCACAGAAAATTCGTAACATAGTCAATTTAAGCAATAGACATGCGCATGCACAGCACTATATATATATATAACCAGAAAAACCAAACACGCTTGGATAAATTTTACCCAGTCGTTTTTTACCCAGTTGGCGTGATTTTGACAAGTCACTACGTTCGGGGCGACTGAGAAAACATTCAACAGTGCATTTCTACTGCAATAACATCAACACTTATGCTAAAATCAATATGAATCGCCTTTAATCGGGTAATATCTCGCGTGCTATAGCCCCCCAAACATTTTCATAGCGCCCACAAAGGACATAGGGAACTTGGTATAAATTTAAAGCGTATGGTCCATATTTTACAATTCGCCCCTTATCTGACATGAAAATAGTACTAAAACAAGAAAATCCCTAGATGTTTCCACTGCTATGTACTAATAGTAATATTACAGGTATCATTATAAAGTGCTTGGAGTAGGATGTGATCATGAATGACCGAAACGGTCCGATCTTGTTAGATGTCCATAGAGAGGTAGCGAGACAGAAAAACAAATAGAGACAGACAGAAAGAAACACTGGGAGAGGGAAAAAGAGGATAGAGAAGGAGAGAAAGGGAGAGATGGGGTAGAGAGAGCAGGAGAGATACAGAAAGAGAGAGGGGCGAGAGAGAGAGAGAGAGAGAG